TGTCAAAAAAAGTTTCGCTTAAAAACCATTTCGTTTATTCAAAATTTAGAACCTTAGGCACATGATTGAGATTCTACTGTATAAAGCTATTAATATAGGTTAATTGAGGCCTTTGCACTCAGACTTTTCAAAAACTCATTTCATAATACTTTCTTAGATTGGATTTTGTTCCTATAGGAATATTTTTGTTCAAGACATCATGTTTTACACCATAACAGTCATTAAACTTCCCTCATTAGCTGAATATTTTATTACTGTTATGAGTCACTGGGTAGTTTTTATTTTCTTATAATGTTAAATATCTAGGTAGAACTATGAGAGAAATAATACCCTATATAGGTAGAGGATCTGCAATCAAATAAAAAGCTCCTCTATAAAATGAAAGTCTCAATGGAGCAAGTTTTTATCTACAATATCATTCAATGTGTTTATTTTTTAGAATATGACCATGTGTTCTTTTATGCTTTTTGAGCATAATATGCTAACAATGGCCCATGTTTAGCATTGTGATCATGAAGTGCTTAACAACAATTTGACCATCACTGATTTCATGCTTATTGGTTCTTGCTGTCACTTTGTTAACAAGGAGAGTTGGAAAAAACAAGGCATTACTATTACATGTTATAGCACATTGCCGACTAATGAGGAAGAGAGACTATCTTGAATGACTTTCTTTCTTACGCTATATTAGTTTTTTAATTTATATTTTGTGTGAGTTGTTCTTGTGTTAGATCGTTGTAACAAGGTTTCAAGAAGTTCGTGGGAGACAAGAAGCAGCAAAAGTGATTTCTTGTGTGTAGTGGAATAAAGTTTACTGCCACATCTGGATCAAATGTTATAAGTACCAGTATCATCGTGTGTCTTGAGGGGAATAAATATTTCTACCATATCTGAGTCAGATGTTGTAAGTATATGATCACTTTTCGTGCTTTTGTATAACTGATATGTTTACACTAGAGTGTTAAAGTTCACTCCAAGTTTGTTATATCTTTTTCCTTATCAGTTCTCGCAGTATGGATGTTGTCCCAATTCTGTCATTTTGTTTCGTGGTATTGACTCCGCCCATTATTTGTTCTAGAAGAATGCATGGGTTCTCTTAGCTGCGAGTACGTATTTATATGTTTCATGTGTAGTTTGTTGTTTCTAATTTTTATGTTTGCAAGTTGAATTTATCTCACAATGAGATTGAAAACCTTTTGTTTTGTCTTTTGTATAGTATCCATGCAGTTACATTAATTCATGTGAATGTTTTTCAGATTTCGAGTGTTGGATGTATTCAATTACTGGATTTTACTCTAATGGAGACATATTTGTTGATGTTAGATTTGTTCAGGAATTAGATGCTGCTAAACAAAGGGATATCAGGAAACAATGTTATATTTGCTGCAGTGCTCAATATAACATTGCTGCAGGTAATGAACGGCAGTTTCTGTTTAACTCCACGGCACAACAGTTTATGTTTGTTGAGCGAAAATAACATTGCTCAATATAATATTACTTCTTGCTTTTGGTGTACTTACTGATACTTAATTGAATTGTTCACGCAGAATGTGCCGGGTGGAGACATACAACCGGATGTCTTTAACAGACTATCATATCTTTTAAAAGTTGAGGTCAGGCGTGCACACTTCAATGACTTCGTTCCTTCCTATAATGTTATTGACATTTGTTTCGACGAGAAAACCATCTCGCAATTCAAGGAAACCAATTCGACATTTTTCTTGGTCCAGGTTTGATTACATACATAATGGAATATAAATTTGGCTTTAGTGAAACTTTTATTACGAATAATAAACACATGGATTTTAAGATGCTAATAAAATGTTGTTTATTCAACCCATTGGTAATAGACTGATGTGACTTTGGGACTTTCAACTGGGGAAAAATCATCACAATTCTTGGAGTGTCTGTTCCCCAATTTTTAAAGATTCTCTATTTCCCTAATTTTTTCGATAACTTCTTGGATCCCGATTCGCAATTTGTTTTGAATCATAATATGTGTAATTACATGCCTTATATTGCCAATTCCTTGATTCCCATGATAATATTCTGCCTATATATGAATTCTCCTCGAGAGCAACCCACCACATCCCTTCTTACGCATGTTTTTCTTCTTGCAGATTAAAACTTCCTTTTGCTCCTGACATGTCGAGGGCTAGGAATTCTATTGAGATGGTGTTCATGGATGAACATGTAAGTCAAAGTCTGATAATTCACCACATAATTCATATATAAACACACACACACACACTACGACCATTATGTAATTAGAGCTTGGATGATGTTTTTCTTTTGTGTGTATCATATTGGTGTACGTTCCCAACAGGATTTGTGTTTTTTTTGTGTTTATACTATAAAATCAGTATATAGTATGAATTTTAATTAGCATACTTTGTTTATGTCGTATCATTCATTATGCTTCTAACATTGTACTTCCTCCTTCCCGCTATGACTGTTCATCTCAGCACTTTGACTCATCAAATTCTCTCAATGTGTAAGCCTAAATATAGTCATGTGTGATCTTGTTTGATTTGTCTTAACATATAGATTATTAATATATAATTTCTATAATTTTTAATATACAAATTACAAGATAAAATAGATTAAAGAAGTGTATTGGATGGTGTGCAAAAATGAAAGTGGACAAATATAGTGGGACGGAGAAAGTATACTATATTTAGCTATATTTTTAATCATTTACTAAAATAAAAAATTCAACAGAGTTAAAAACAACATGCATTCGACCACGTGCATTGCACGGGTTATATACTAGTATATAAATAGAGAGCTAGAGGATGCAGGGGTTCCACACTATATTCATTTCACCCATAATAATAATAATAATAATAATAATAATAATAATAATAATAATAATAATAATACTAATAATAATAATACTAATAATAATAATAATAATAATACTCTGATCCGCAATAATAATAATAACAACAATCATAAAAATAATAAAAATAATATAAATCACTCTAAATAGGACTAAAACATAGAAAAAAGTACTAAAATAGGACTTTCATGTTTTTTTTCCCGAAATAGGACTTTGCACTGTGGTAACGTGGCACTGTACATGTGCACATTACTATACTTTTTTGGTAATTTACATGACCATGTTTGGTAATATAAGTCTTATTTCGAGAATAAAAACATGGAAGTCATATTTTGGTGTATTTTCAATGTTTTAATCCTACCTTGGTCTTTCTCTCAAATAATAATAGCAATAAAGTATTTTTATTATGTATATATTTATTATTTATTGTAGTTGTTCTTCGATAGAAGCACTCCATTTGCAAAAGATACTTTAGTACAGTTAATTGGCAATTTGATAATTAAAAAAACCTTACTAGGGGTAGACCTGTGCAAACAAGGGTCGGCCTGTCTGGCCCGCCCAGCCCACCCTTTAAAAAGGACGGATATGGACAACCTTTAATACTCACATGGGAGGATCTGGAAGTTACTTTTAGCCCATCTAGGCCAACAGGCCCGCCCATATTCATCAAAAATATTCACTTTATTATTACGGAGTAATTATCTAGCCAATATAATTTTGAAAAATTGTTATAGTTCATGTATAATGGTCCAATTCACTCACCTCTCTTAAACAAAAATCAATATTCTTTCAATGAATTTGTATGATGGGTTTATTAACTATGCAACAATACCTCTGTTATGCTTTCTATGTAAATTTGGTGAGTGGTAATTTTATTTTAAACATTGAAAAAAGAGTTCAATGTTTTTTTTTGGATTTTTTGTGCAAACAAAGTTTTCTTGGTGTTTTATCCGGGCCGGGCGGCCCGGTGGGTAGTTCGGCCCGCTAAGGAGGGCGGATATGGGTAAAGAGTTTAGCCCATCAAATTTGGGTCGGGCTAGACCCGCCCATGTAAATGGGCTAATAATTTGTATTCAGCCCGATCCAGATCCAGCCCGGATCCTTATTTGCACAGGTCTACTAGGGAGAAAGAAATAGGTTCAATCATATTTATTAGAATGAAATGACTCCAAAATACATTTCTTTTGAACACATAACTCTATTACTTCCTATATTAGCTAAAATAATTCTTTTTTTTGTTTGGGCTCAATATGTTTTTAGTCCCGGTAAAATAGGTTATTTTCATTTTTGGTCCTTGTAATATTTCTTTGTAAAGTCATCCTCATAAATTTTTTATTTTGAAAATGGTCCTAACACATAATTTTTACTTCTCATTTTTTGAGATATCACATTTATTTCGTATTCAGCATCTCAATTTTGTATTTGTAATTACATCACACACAATTCATATGACATAGGTTGTCTTCTTCATCAAATTACATCCTCAATTTCCAAATTTTATTATACTGCATTCAATTCCTAAAAAATTAGAAATTTGAGATGTAATATATACTCCGTAAATAACAAGGAAAATGATGTCTGTACACCAAAATTTGTACCCCGAAGGCATGTACCAACATTTAGTGCTTGTGTGATACTTTACAATGACACAAAAATGTCAGTGCAATTTTTTGATTGAACTAACATTTTGTACCATTTAAAGTGATGGTGCATCCCTTTGGGGTACACTTCTAGGTGTAGCCTTAACATGGTTGAAATAAGAATGATATCAGAGGTAGTAAAAATTAGAAATGCAAGACTATGATGTTTAGTACGAAATAAATGTACTATCTCAACAAATTAGAAGTGAAAATTATGTTTAAGTCTCATTTTTAAAAACAAATTATAAGGATGACTTAACAAAAACACACTTTTCAGGGACCAAAAAACAAAATTTGCATATTTTACAAGGAAAAAAACATATTTAATCCCTTCTGTTTTAACTAATACGCTTTCACTTTTTGCAAAAAAAGACTAATATATCAAAATATAGTCGTTGTAATATACTTCAATTCATTCTATTTACTATACATTGATATATAAGTTATTTAAATTATATATCATTCTTTTTTTCTTCGACATTAAAGACCTAATTAGACAGATAAATTATGAAAATAAATTAAGCAAAATTAAAAATAGGAGATCTTTCATTTGGGAGAGTCATAGCGTTGCTATTGGACTACATACAAGGTCCTTAGCGACTCCAAAATAAAATTAGTAACTCCTCTACTGAGCTTAAGGCTAGACAAGATTGGGGTTATCTTCTCGAAGTACCACAACAACCGGAGGGCAAAGTGTGGATATTATACGATGTGATTTGTGTGGCTCATCGTCTCTTTGTGTGCTTGGTCTTCGATACCGTTATCTGACGTAAATAGTTTTATTGTGTTCGTGTAACTACATAGTTTTTCTTCTTTATGATTATTTTGGATTTATCGTTGTGTGTCTTCATTCTTGCTATAGGTGTTTTATTCTATCGCGCCATACACAAAAGCCAAATTGGATGAGACCTGATAGACTTGATCAAACAACGGGCTGGGTCGGGTTTCGGGCCGGGCCATGACGCTAGATAACATGCTTTTTTTCGGCCCGAGCCTGGCCCGGAATACGGGCCTATTATTTAAATCCAAGCCCAGACCATAGGAAAGTCAACGGGCTTCGGCCCGGCCTGGCCTGCTAAATTAATAATATACTAATTTTAATAATTATTTCATAAAATGAATAAAGAGCAATAACGTACTAATATGTAAAAACTCAAAAGTCAAAAGCATCATAATATTACAGTAACAAAGTGACTAGGGACATATGATCAAATCCATATCCACAATAAAAATTATTGAGATTTGACCAATTTCAATTCTCATATTAGGTCTGGATCCACTTTCTAACCAAAAGCTTAAACAAATTGGTAGTGTTTCATCTTTTTTATATGATACTGTCATTTTTAGTAGATGTTCGATGTTGGGAATGAACAGACTACCAACACCCCTCCTCAAGTGGTTGCAAGGCTGGTCTAATTACTACTTGAATGAATGAATCTAGTTTTCAAGCTCGCTTTCTTAGAAGAGGACAATTTGTAAAACAATTTTTTGACTCATTCAGTATAGTTTTCTGTCTACTAGTGGTGGATTCTTTTTTATACAGTTTTGTGTCTGTTGGTGGTGATTTTTTTGTTTAGGTCCACATACTTTTTAGAAATAATTCACACGAATATTGCAAGAAATTTGTAGATTGTACATTAGTACTCCAAAAATTAATAATTCACGTCATTGCTCCCAAAAATTGTTCAATTTTATATCAATACTCCGAGCTGCCAACTAAGCACATTACGTGATATTTTTAATGATGACTGTAAATTGTTAGGTGTGTTAATAACTACAAAGTGATAAAAAAATAAGGAAAATAACGTTTCGGATAAAATAAAGGATTTTCAAATACTTATTTCATAGTCAAATTTATATTTGTTGGAAAGATCTTTAAAATATGATTCTTTGACTATATTAACTTTAAACTTTTCTAATTTTATATTTGAAATACTATTCATAATTTATCTGATTAAAATATAAATACTTTATTTTTCAGTTTTAACACTTTTTTATTTTAAATCGACATGAAGAGGGTAATTATAATACATTGTTTTTTTATTTTTGTAATTAAGTACCAACATATACTTAATAATTATCTAGTCACATTTAAAATGTCACGTATTCATCTAAGTTGACAACTTGGAGTATTGATTTAAAATTGAATAACTTTTGGGAACAATGATGTCAATTATTCAATTTCAAAGTATATACATGAAATCAATGATTTCTTGGGGTATTCATATAATTTTTTTTTGAGTAAATTCCATAATTGGTCCTTTATAACAGGGAGGTTTCCATATTTAGTCCTCTATTATCAAATATTATCCCCATAGTCCTTTTTTTAAGGGTGCCTTTCCACAAATGGTCCTATTTTTGATCTTCTGCCGTGTTGCTGTTAATTTAAAGGCTAAAAATATAATTTGACGTCAAGATTATGTCTAGTGACGTGTTCTGATATTGGTTAAGCGGATAACACAAAATAATGACTATGATTGTGGTCTAGAATTCTGACGAAAGATCACATTTGTAGATTATAGTTGTCGTAAAAAGCGACTGTAATTCACAAACGACGCAAACGGAACAGCCTTTGGAATTGTGTATGATAAAAAAGATATATTATCATTGTGAAATTATATTTTTAGCCCTTAAATTAACACCAACATGATAGAAGATCAAAAAAAGGACTATTTGTGGAAATGTACCCATAAAAGAAGGACTACTTGGATAATATTTGATAATAGAGGACTAAATAGGGAAACCCCTTGTTATAAAGGATCAATTATAGAATTTACTCATTTTTTTTTTTACTTTTTATTATTCCTAATATCCTTCCTCTTCCGTTCAACCAAGAAGGTAAAGAAACCAAAAAAGGAAAAAAAGAAAAATGCTAGGGGTACACCAATGGTGTACCCTATTTGTCCCCCACCCCCTCTTCCACTACATAAATGGGCAAATACTTTTTTAAAAAATTAAATAAACAAAAATTAAATAAGAATGAGTGGTGGAGAAGAGGGTGGGGGACAAATGAGATACACCTTTGGTGTACCCCTAGCATTGCTCCAAAAAAACATCGTCCTTTGGTCACCAAACCCTGACCCCATGGCCGTTCCGTACCCTAAACTGCGAATAAATTTTAAGCTGTCAGTGATACATCGATAACATCTTCACCCAACCTTTTGGGCCCGACCCCAGTGGGGGGACCCATTCATTTCCACGTTTTCCCCAGCTCTTCAACTGACACCATAATTCTTCTCTCTAATTAATTTCCCATATAAATAAGCTTATAAATTGGTAACTCCACAAAGAAATAGAGAGAGAGAGAGAGAACAATCTAATTAAACAAGGAGACGCAAGTCTCAGCTGTGCTCTGCTAACTGAATATATACACAAACCCAAAAAAAAAAAGAAGAAAGTTTCCCATCAATAATATGTATATATATTCAGCCATGCGAGACATTGCTGAGATCCTGTGCGGTTGGGTCTTTTGTCTCTTAGTGTTTTACTTGGTATACGTTAAGGTTGTCCCCTCTAAGCGGGGCATGCCGAGGTCGTACCCGCTCACCGGCCACCTCTTTTCCATGCTCAAACACCGCAACACCATCCTCGACTGGACGGCCGATGTCCTCCGCATGTCACCCACGTCAACGTTCACCCTCCGCTTCCCCTTCGGCCGCGCCAGGCTCTTGACCGCCAACCCCAAGAACATTCAGCACATCATGAAGGTCAAGTTCAAGGACTACCCGAAGTCGCGAAACTTCGAGGACTCCTTCCTCGACCTCTTCGGCGGGAGCATTTTTCTCGCCGACGGGGAGAACTGGAAGAGGCAGAGGATGCTTAACGGCGCCGAGTTCCACGCGAAGGGTTTCCTCACCTTCATCAAGTCCATCACCCAGGAGGAGCTCTCAGAGAGGATGTTCCCACTCCTCTCTGGCGCGGCCCAGGGTGACAGGGTGTTGGACTTTCAAGATGTCATGCGCCGGTTCACCTTCGACGTGGTGGCGAGGCTCGCCCTCGGACACGACCTCGCCTACCTCTTGCCGTCGTTCCCGGAGACGGAATTCGGGGACGCGTTCGACGACGCCATCGAAATATGCTGGAAGCGGTGCCTCTCTCCGTTCATGACCGTTTGGCGCACCCAGAAGCTTCTTGACTTGGGGTCCGAGTGGCGGCTCCAACGGGCCGTGGCTGTGGTTCGAAGACTCATCCGTAAGCTAATCAGAGAAAGGAAGGAGTTCGGAGACGACTTCTTGTCGAGGTAGTCTTAAGTTGGAACTTCTTGCTTTAACTTCAAACACAAAGTACTCCATAGTTTTCAAAAAAAGTCTCTACATTTTGACCAATAAGTCAATAAAATTTAAGGAATACAATTTAGGAAGGTGCAGGATGCGTTGTTAGGGCTGGGTACCAAATGGTTACCGGATAAGAAGCACCATATATAGCTACCGAATTCCATATTATGATATCAAAATCTAATGTAAAAAGAATCCCTAAATAGGATTAAAACATAATGACTTTTTTCAATATAGGATCATATTCTTTATGTTTTTATTTTTCAATGTAGGACCATTGGTCATTATCCATTAATACTCATTATTAAGTAAATGTCCATCATCACTGAACATTATTAAGTACTCCTTCCGTTCTAAAAAACACTTCCTCTTTTATTTTTTCCACTTCCATCAAAACACTTCTATTTTCTATTAAAAAAATCATTTTTACTCTTACTTTTTCATACCCTGCCTATCACATCATGCTTTTTCTCTAATAATCTATCCATCACATCTTATTTTTATCATCACATTAAGGACAAAATTGAAATTCATTTACAATTTAACACTTCCTTATTTTTACACTAGGTCAAAATGGGAACTCTTTTTTAAGAATGGAGACAAATTTTTCTCTCTTAATTTTATACTAGCTGCATATGAATGTTTTTTACATTAACAGGCTGATGAGCAAGAATATAACAGACGAGACGTTCCTGATTGACACCGCCATTGCGATCGTTCTAGGCGGCGTTGACACCATGGTCTCCGCCTTCACGTGGCTGTTCTGGATCATCGCCCGCCACCCCGAGGCAGAAGCGAAGATTCTCAAAGAGATAGAAGATTACGACGCCGGGAAAATCGAAGAGCTGGTATACACTCACGCCGCCGTCGCCGAGAGTATGAGGCTCAACCCGCCGGTGCCACTGGAGGGAAAACAGGCTAGAGTTGACGATGTGTGGCCCGACGGGACAAGGGTGCAGAAAGGGATGGGAATCATATGCCACACCTACGCGGTGGGCCGGTCGGCGGCGGTGTGGGGACCCGACTGGGCGGAGTTCAAGCCGGAGAGATGGTTGAAGAAAGTCGACGGCGCCGGCCCCGGGGAGGAGCGGTGGAGTTTCGCGGCGAGGGATGCTTTCACTTACCCCGTGTTTCAGGCCGGGCCGAGGATATGTTTAGGGAAAGACATCGCGTTCATTCAGCTGAAGATGGTGGCCGCAGCTGTCTTGCGGCGTTTCCGGGTGGTGGACGCCGCCGGCGGCTTGCCGCTCTGTGAATCCTATATCAGCTGCAGGATGAAAGATGGGTTTCCCGTACGCATTGTGGAGCGTAGCACAGCCGATAAAAATGGAGGGTTTGCATAACTTCAAACTTCAAACCATATTCGTAAAAATTATAAAAGTTCTTCTATAATTATTATCTCGTTATTGTGTTTCTTTAAAATGTGTTCATGTGTTTAAAATATAGTTGCACTGTTCGAAAAATTTCAGTTTTTATATTATCCACGGGTACTACTTGTTGGAATAAATCCTTTTATACGTATCGAATAAATGTTGTTTCAAAGACGTGATTAAAGAAGAGAAAGATTAAAACATAATGACTTTCCCAATATAGGATCATATGTTTTTATTTCCCAATGTAGAACTTTTGGTCATTATCAAGTAGTCATTATTCAAGTAAATGTTCATCATTACTGGACATTATTCCTCCCACTAGGTCATTATTAAGTCCTATTTAGGGAATAAAAAAGTTTAAGTCCTACATTGGGAAAGTTATTATGTTTTAGTCCTATTTAGTGCAAATTTTACATTAAAGAAAGCTAATTTACCTAAATAGGACTAAAACATAATAATGCCTTTCTCAATATAGAACCATATGTTTTTATTTTTTAATGTAGGACCATTGATCATTATCTATTAGTCATTATTCAACTAAATATCCAGGACATTATTCTTCTCACTAGTCATTATTAAGTCCTATTTATGGAATAAAAAAACTTAAATCCTACATTATTTATCACGTGTAGTATCAGAATACCATAATTGCTTTTAGAAAAAAAGAATTCACCATAACTATGAAACTGTTGTAAACTCAGTAATTCATTCATCACATACGGGGGTATTTATACATACACGAGACGAGGTATAGTCTAGGTCAATAAGGAAACAAGATATTCTGAATAGAATTAAAAATATATCTGCCATATTTAACACTCCCCCTCAGATATATCATCATGCATTATACACTAATAACATTATGCTACTGGATAATGTTGGCTAGGTTCTTCAGGACCTATATTAACTGATACTGCAGGATCAGTTATGTTGCCTCATTAAAAACCTTACTAAGAAAACCCAATGGGACAAAACTTAGGTAAGGGAAAAAGAGTACAGCGTGTATAATATTTTCCCTCAAAATAAAATTATACTCCCCCTCAAAACAAATTTTTCTCTTTCAGCCTGCGAAGTCCAATCTTCTTTATGAGTTGCTCGAATTTGTGCCTAGGCAGAGATTTCGTGAATAAGTCTGCCAAATTTTCGCTTGATTTAACTTGAAGAACATTGATCTCTCCTTCTTTCTGCAGATCAGATGTTGAGAAAAACTTTGGTGAGATGTGCTTCGTTCTGTCTCCCTTGATATACCCTTCCTTGATCTGAGCTATGCATGCTGCATTGTCTTCATATATAATTGTAGAATTCTTCTTGATTTCTTCCAAACCACATGCGGCTCCTTGTATATGATCAATCATCGATCTCAACCAAACGCACTCCCGACCAGCTTCATAAAGTGCTACCAATTCAGCTTGATTTGATGATGTTGCTGTTAGAGTTTGTTTTGTTGACTTCCAGGAAATTGTTGTAGCACCGTATGTGAACACATAACCTGTTTGAGAACGTGCATTGTGTGGATCTGATAAATACCCAGCATCAGCATACCCTACAAGTTGGGACTTTTCATCTTTCTGGTAGAAGAGACCTAAGTCTCGTGTCCCACAAATATATCGAAATATTTGCTTTATCCCATTCCAATGTCTACGTGCTGGGTTTGAACTGAATCTTGCTAATAGATGTACTGAGAATGCAATATCGGGCCTTGTATTATTTGCAAGATACATGAGTGCACCGATCGCGCTTAAATATGGTACTTCTGGACCAAGTACTTCTTCACCCTCTTCTTGGGGGCGATAAGGATCTTTATGTATATCTAAGGATCGGACAACCATGGGTATGCTCAACGGATGTGCCTTGTCCATATTAAAACGTACTAACATCTTCTGGATATAGTTTGACTGATGGACGAATATGCCATGGTGCAAATGTTCGAATTGCAAACTAAGACATAATTTTGTTGTGCCAAGGTCTTTCATCTCAAATTCTCTCTTTAAGAGCTCAGTAGTTTTTTCTATCTCTTCAGGAGATCCAATGATGTTTATATCATCAACATAAACTGCTACAATTGTGAATTTAGAGAGTGATCTTTTTATAAAAACACATGGGCTAATTACATCAGATTTAAAATTATGCTTTTCAAGGTATTCGCTAAGTCGATTGTACCACATACGACCAGATTGCTTGAGACCATATAAAGATCTTTTGAGTTGTATAGCACACATGTCTCGAGGTACTGATTTTAATGCTTCTGGCATTTTGAATCCTTTAGGGATTTTCATGTAGATGTTATTCTCAAGTGTCCCATATAAGTATGCGGTGACAACATCCATAAGTTTCATCTGAAGTCCTTCTGAGATTGTGAGGCCGATTAAGAATCTAAGGGTTATCGCATCCACTACAGGGGAGTACGTTTCCTCATAATCAACTCCTGGGATTTGGGAAAACCCTTGTGCTACAAGTCGTGCCTTATATCGCATAATCTCAT